CCCATGCGCACTGTAGAATTATTCACAACAGCCAAGAAATAGAAGCAATCTAATACCTACCAATAAATGAACAAATAAAATATGGCACATAATGGAACACTCACCCTTCAAAAAAGAAACCCTGCTTTTGCTGCAACTTAAAGGAACAGAAAGGCACTTATGCCAAGTGAACAGGGAAGCACAGAGGACAAAGTCTACATGGTGCTGGTTGTGTGATGAATCTAATTCAGCTCAACTGCAAGAATTAGCAAGCACAACGCCGGCTGCCACAGATGAAGGGCAGGAAAGCAGGAAGGTGTTCGTTCAAGGCACAAAGTTTTGGTCATGCAAAATAACTAAGTCCTAGAAGTCTGTACAGAGTGGTGTGTGCAGTTCACTAATACTGTCTTAGATACTTCACACTTTTCTAAGACGACGGAACAATTGGCTTGTGGGAGAGCCTATGGTGATCTCACAGGTGTGTGCTAATATCCAAACTCAGCAGGATGAAACCTTAAATATTTATAGCTTTTTGGATGTCATTTGTACCTTAAAAAAATTTTTTTAAAAGGCATGAATCACACAATTGCTGAAAAGCTATAAAAATAGTAATAAATATAAATAGCATGGATTAAAATCCGAGAGAAAGAATAAGGAGTACTGGCAGACGTTCTTCCTTGAATGATAGCGCTGAGCAATACACAACGACAAGAGAGGTCACGGGAAAAAGCAAAAGCGTCAGACACTGGCGCTGGAAACCGCAGCAAGCGGCACTTCGGAAAAGCCTCCCACGGGCAGGTGAAGCCCGTCTCACCACTCACACTGGTGCAACTCATGAGAAAAGCTGCCGTTTTTTATTGTTTCTGAAAACTCATAGTACAGTAGAAAGGGAATTTCCTCCTTTAGTTAATGATTACTCTGAGTGCCAAAATGTGAAGTAGAAAGTGTAAACTATGTTGTGATCAGAACTAAGAGAGCAGCAGCACTGTCCAGTGATGAGGGTCTAGGGACTCAAACTGAAGTTTGTTTCAGAATGCCAGTCACCACATTCTGTTAATCACAGAGAGCGCTGGCTGTGCCTCCTCATTTTAACTCAATATTGAAAAAAGTAGTGGACAAACATGAATGTAATTTGATTGTGCCTCTCCATATAAGTATTTTGAGGGTGCCTGAAAGTTGTAATCAACCTTCCAGCACTGCAACAAAATACCTGAGGCAATTAGCATTAAAGAGAGAAGGTTGATTCCAGTTCTCAGTTCTGGAACTTCCAGTCCAACACCAAGTGTTCCCACGGCTTTGAGCTCTGATGCTGGGATGTGTGTGTGGAACAAACCACTCATGTCATGTGCCTGGAAGGAAGAAAGAAGAATGAGTAAGGACCTCTGAATCCCCTGGAGAGCACACCCACCCCCTGAAGACCTCTGCAAGGTCCATTCTAAGGTCCACCACCTCCCAATGCTGCCAGCCCAGGACCCAGATCATCGACATGGGAACCTTCACAGAACACTTTTCCCAAATGTAGCCACGTGGAAAATCAGCAGTGATGCTGAAGCCTGATCTTTTCAGTTAGAATGCGCTGACTTTCAAGGTAAGGCATGCACACAGGTTGAAAAATGAGAAACAAACAGTTCCTCACCGATTACAAGGCCAGAGTATACTTATCACTCCTGACCAACATCCTGGACAGCCTAAAGGTCATCACTTCAAAGGAGAAGATAATAACACTGAGGTTGATGTATGCCATGAAAACCAGAATACAAAGAAAGGCGCTCATCAGAAAAAGTAACCAAAGGCATGTGGCTGAGCATATTTTAAACTAACTTCAATCAGCTTCTCAGAACATGGTAAAGTGCTTTCCAAAGTCAAATAAAGTTGGGTTAGGAAACACTTGCTATTACCTACTAGGTTAAAAAATATTCAGAGTTCTGGAAAAATGATTGACTCATTGTCTTGTCATTTAGTGTGGAACTGGAAATACCCATCCAGGGTTCCTAAGACAACTCAACTCAACCCATTTCTGCTATAAATAATGTCCTTCTGAGTGTTTCCCCTCTAATTTTGTAGTAACTGCTCCATATATACAAAACATTAAATTCAAAAGTGCTGCAAAGTATAATTTTTTAAAATATAAAAATCAAGTTCCTTCGGCTGCCAAGTTAGAATTTCACACACACATACACACACACACCTTTAATTGTTAACAGGAAAAAAACTCCGTAAGTTCTCTCTCCTGAATGTATTATCCCTTTTAACACAGCATACTATATTAGTCTTGCTTGTATAGATAGATAACCTATTTTTACATAAAGCATGTCTTAAACAGTCCAGGAATAGTCCTTAATAGTCAGTTCCATTCCTGTAATGACCACCAGGGCGAGCTTTCCTTCCCTTCCCCGAAACTGGCTCCAGGAGCTGATCATGCAATTGAATTTATTCGCCCTGCCACACAAGCCAAACCCATTTTAATGGTTCAGACATTTTATTGAAGATACTTGATGTGACCATATGGGGCATCAAAAATAACTAGAGGACTGCAGACATCATAAACATTTTATTTTTCCTATATTTTCATATTATTCTTGATGCATTTGATGCATGGTTCTTGCAACAAATGATGCATGGTTCATTTTCAGGTTGCTTTACTGTTTTAAAGATTTATGTAAAATCCAGAAAATACATAATTATTCCTCAAATTTGGTGGTTTTCTTATTTTTATTGTGAGTTACTTAGAGTGAGGAAACAGGAAGACAGCAAGTCCTAGGCTTTAAAATTTTCAAATCTCTACTGTATAAAAATTCTAAAATATATCATATATATCTTATATTTATATAAGATAAAATATATTATATATTATATATTATATAAAATATATTATAAAATATATCTTATATTTTATGGCTAAAATAAACTTTAGCTTTTTTTTTTTGTCTTTTTGAGGCAGGGTTTCACTATGCAGTTCAGGATGGCTTTGAACTTACTTTGTAGGCCAGGCTGGCCTGAAACTTGCAGTGGGCCTCTTGCCTCAGCCTCCCGAGTGCTGGGATTACAAGCACATACCACCAAGCCCGGCTAGCATTTTAAATGGTATAAAATCTAATACTTGCCCTGGAAAAATATCATTCAAAGTCTAATTTCACTCATACATTACTTATTAAACTTTGATAAATCATTTCCAGAATTTATCCTGTTATAGCTATGACCCTGACCTACGCCACATTTAGATATGTTATTATTATTTTTGTAGACATCAGTAGTGCTGGTGTTTTTAAACATTATATGAGGACAAAAGATCAGGGCAAATCAAATCTGTTTAGTCTTCGTGATCACAAAACATATTCTCAAATTCAGATGACAGCTGAAACAGATTGACTTATTATTTTTGTTCATTTGTGCATGATACTAAAAATATGTTTTTCTGAGATATATATGTATAAATAGATGTGTACCAGTCTAAACAGATGTAGACATTAGATAGATTCATAAAAATTTTGATAATACACTAATTCATCTTATACCAAGGATATAGATAGCCTTATATTAAAACACATATATTAAAACACATAGTATAAGAGAATAATCAATTTAAATGCCTCCTGGACTTGATAATGAGTCATGAACTCAAAGATTAAAATAATTTGAAATATCCTGAGCTTTATTGTAGATTATAATAATCTCTTGATATTACAAGAATTTCCTGGGAAAAAACAAAACCTGAGACTTACTGGGTTTGGGTCTTCAGTGATCACTGTTCTTTGCACCGTCTTTATTTGCTATGGAAATTCTCTACATGGGCCGCTAGCTTTCTCAGAATTGAGCAAATTGTAAGTGTAAAATACTGCTTTACTTAAATGTTAAAAGTTGCAAACAATGAAAAACAGGGAGCTTCTATACTTCTACATAGAGGAGTTTTACTGAGAAAAAGTTCATTTGAAACACCCAGTGACAAAGTCATCAGTTTCCCGAAGCTGAGCCCTCACACATTACCCAGCCTCAAGTATCCTGTTATAGCCTTGCAAAATGGACTAAAAGAGAAAGGTCCGATACTTAGTGAGTTTGTAGTTCTTGCCAGTTGAACTGAAATTTAAGCTTCAAAAAATAGTATACATTAAGTAACATGCCTGGCATAGCCGAGCTTTCGGAGCAATCCTTGCCTCATGAATAGTCCCAGATACTCATATTTTCATATTTAACATGAGAGAGGTGGGGAGAGGGAGAGACAGGCAGACAGACAGACGGACAGGCTGTGGTCAGTCTTTCAATCTTTCCAGGCAGCCATTTTGCCAAATTCTTGCTTTTGAAGCTGCAGTCATGAAAGCTGGACAGCAATTCTGGGGTTTAGTCTGAAACATTGATAGCATATCCAAGTAGTGCTTTTTATTTTAACTGACTATGGAAATGATGAAAATGCCTGAGTTCTAGCTGAACATATTCTTTGTAACTTTGCCCCATCATATTTGAAACTGATCTGTAATTATCTCCTTTTTTTCTCCTGTGCAAAAATGTCTTCATTGTTTTTAGAAAGCCAAAATAAGAAGAAAATAACGCTGCTGTTGTGTTTTCTGGTGGAGCTATCCAGAATTATGTGCACCGGTTTTTAAATGATGGACAGATTATGCGCGCTGCTAGGGCAGGATGCCTGACAGCAATAAATGAGCCTTTGTCTTCCCGTTGAAGATTTCCCTCCATGACAAGGCACAGCTGTCAGAGCTTCAGCACAACTCTGCTTTCTTGGCAAGGAAAACAATTGCAATCTGAGGTTTGCTGACTCCTTTCCAAATATAGCTCCCTTTTCCACAAAGGTAGCTGGCAGACTAGGAAAGCTATCCAAACTGAACAAGAAGGTATCTCTTGTCTCTAAAAAAGATATGTCACGTCTGTCAAATTCTCCAGGAAAAGCTCACAATCTCAGTTATTTAAGGAGATGCTTTGAAATTCATGTTTTTAAAGACCTAAGAGAGACAATGGTTTTTATGATACTCATCAATCCATGAACAAATGTTGTATTATTTGCTCCTGAGAAGAGATACACAATTCTAAGCCAAGATGACAACTCTCAATCTGCGGGAGCAATTACAGAACATTTGAGGTACATTTGTTGTCATAAACACATTAGAAGCCTGAAAGTATTTATGCTTGTGTGTGTTAAGTCTTTCTAAATGCATTTCCTTCAATAATTTCTATGATGCTATAAATTCCTTATGTGCTGAAGTTACTTCCTAGATAAAAGTTTATCATTTAGATGATAGCTACCCATTCTGCTTAGTCAGAATTAGCGCTGCCTGGTGGGGAGATAGTTCAGTATTCTCAAGTTTAGGGGCTTTTGGAGCCCTGGAGCAGTCCATTTCAGTGAGACAGGCACAGAGCTGGGGAGAAGAGGCTGTAATCATTGCAGCTATTAAGAAAGTCTCCATGAAGACCTGCTTCTCATGGCTACCAGCCCAGCAAGGTCACACGAGAAAGGTGGCATTTGAGACACTAAGTATGTCTTTCCTTGTTTGATTTAAGCTATTTTAAGGGGTTTTTTGTTTGATGGGGTGAGATCAAATAGAAGTGAAGTCTTAAGACACTGCTATAGATTGTCTATTATAAGTAGGTGGATAAACTATGCTTCATTTGGAAATCCGAATAATCTAAATGCCTACCAAGAGTTTTCATTCTGTTTAAGGCAAACAAATTAATAAGCTAAATATGAAAAGAATGACCTTTGGTAAGCTAGGAAATCCCAATATTTGGAACAAAAAAGTATAAACTAATAATTTTAACTGACACCTTTTTCCTGATTGCAAAACTGAATTTGAATTGGTTTATAAGAAGAGATATGTTAATTATAAGATTGTTGAAAGCATACATGAAAGAACTCTGGTCCTTTTAATACAAGTAGAACTAGCATGTCATCCATGAACTCTCACATGGTAACTATGCCCTGGCATTAACCCAGCTCTTTGCCTGAAAACAAAGTAGACATGGTCACGCAGTCATTTTGTGTGCTCTTTTTATTGTGTGATATATGTAAGCACTCTAGTCTTTCAATAAGGAGAATTTTTTTCTTTAAAACATTAATTTCTGAGATTAATTTCACAGACTCCCAGCCATTTTCGATTCCTGGAACAGCATCATATATTTGTGAGGCTTATGACAGGATCAATAGGCAATTGACTTATAAAAAGATTTGAAGATTCTTATATTATGTAAATATATCAGATATTTGAAAGAAACCTAGAGAGATATCAAGAGTGCATTCATTATCTTCTCTGAAGACCATCTGGTAGATGGTTACACTCACTTCTCCAAGGAGGCGAATCATGCCGCCTGCCATGTAACATGAGTATTTCAAAAACTAGAGGAAACGTTGCGAGGGTCAGAGTGCTTCTTTTAAGACAAAAGATGTTAACGTATCAATTGCTTTTTCTAAACTAAAACCTCAGTACTCAGGTTTAATTTCAGGGTTGGCATTTAGCAATAGACAAATTTTGGATTACAGTTTGGGCCCTTGTCTCAAAAAGGTCCACCATCACTGCCCTGGGGTATATATAAGAGACTGGGAAATTAATTTTGAACATTGAACAAATTATAAATTTTTGTAGTATTCTCATTAGATATAAAATAAATTTTAAATATCTCCCTGTTGTTATTTTTAAAAACCAGAGGAAAAAGGAAATTTCACTTATTAGATGAAGTGATAACCAGTTAACAAGCTGAAATATTAAAAAATAAAACAAATGGGGACATCACATACCACACAACAAGATAATATTTATGGGAATCACTCAGAAGAAAAATATCAATGACAAAGAATTTTTACAAGTTAATGAAATAAAAGAAATTTAATGGGTAGATCTGGCTATATAAAATTTCCAACTTTCCTGTGTGGAAAAATCATGAAAACAATTAAAATTAAATAAGTTAACAAGCAGTATTATGGCTATATTTCAACTCAATATCTACCATTAATATAAAAGGATCTTATATAAATCCATAATAACAATAAAATCCATGTAAAACTGCATGAAATCTGTTAACTGTTAAAAAGGAAAGGTAGATGCCAAGCCAATATCATTTTGCTGCTCCCACCCTCCAGTATTATCGTGTATCTATCCTCTGTGCTTGGGGAAGCTGATTCTGTTCCCAAATTCAAGAAGGATTATGGGTGGTTTGGGCTCACCAGAGGTTAGTCCTGGCTTTTCATGCCTCTTTTTGATCCCAGACTATAACTGACCCAGTCTGGAGAAAATGACATATCTTATAGCAGGGACAAATTTTTCTTACTCTGTATTGCTGGATACAAGCAAGCTAGCATCCATCTCTGTGCAGAAAATAGAGCCAGCTCAAGAAAAATAGATGCTAAGGAGCTAGACAGAGGAAGAAGCCATGTTCCTAATGATAGTAAATAGATGACCATACTGTTCTCCATTCTGCCAGCTAACTTTCAATCACATGAGGCAAATAGGATATGAATACTAAAGTGATATATTGCATACATATCAACCATAATTATAATAAATGTGTTGATAATTTTGGGATATGGTAAAAATTTACTTATAAGAATATTCATAACTATTTTAATTATTTTTCTCCTTGCTGACACAAAATACTGTACATCCACATTTAAAGGAGGCAAGATTTATTTGGTTCACAGTTTGTAGAGGTTTCAGTCCATAGTCAACTGGCTCCAAGGCAGGGAGGCATGGCAGAGGAGAAGCAGTCCATGGCAGGGCAGACAGGAGGCAGCAAGTGAACAAAGTAGCGAAGAAACTGCAAGCAGCAAATGATAAGGGAAAACAGCAGTGTTCTTTCTGTTGCTTATATTCTAACCAGGCTACCCTCCCTTAAGGCACGTAGTACTTACACACAGGGAGGGCCTTCCCAATATCCACTCCCAGAATTATACCAAACCAATCAGTGGGCTAATTGAGTAATCACACACTGTTAATCCCAGCATCACACACTCTAGATCCAGCCACCTCTGAGAAGCCCCATCTATGAGCACATAAGGCTTTGGAGGACATCTGGATACAAGCAATTACAATAACCATACACACTTCACATGAAATTAAAGTTAGAATTCATCATTTAACTTGAGAACCTATAAAAAAATTTCAAAATGAAAACAAGCACACTATTCTAGGACAACTCAACTACCAAAACTTACTCACATGAAGTCAAATATCTAAGGAAATGAGTAATACTAAAAGAAATATAAGTGATCATCAAAGGTCTATTCTTTGGAAAATGACTGTAACCCATTATACTCATAAAAATAAATTCCAATTTATTAAAAAGGGAAAAATTAAAATATTAGGAAAAACTGGAGAATTAATTTACAAAATCAAAGTATCAAGAGCAAGAATTCTGCTGCTTATGGTGGCACACCTGTAATCCCAATACTGAGAAGCCTGAACCAGGAGGATTGCAAGTCTGAGGCTAGCCTGGACTGCATAGAGAATTCCAGGCCAGCCTGGATCACCTTGAAAGCCTCCAAAAATCAAGAAACAGACAAAAAAGATAAAAATTACTTTTTTTATAAACAAAACCTATTACATTAAAATTTAGAATAAGGATTATGTACAAATAAATGAAAATTTAAAAGTAAAATACGAACAAGTAATTCATATAAAATAAGATGCAAGTAGCCAATACACATTGAGAAAGGACATCACATCCCTAGCAGTTGGGAAAAGGCAAACCTAAGCTACGTAAATTACCGCTTCTTGCTTTTGTACGACCACTTCAGAGGGGAGACTGGTTCTCTACAGAAATTAAGAGTGGACATAACTTGAGATCCAGATTGTAATTTCTAGAACTATACACTAGAGAAAATGTTGTTCCTAACGTGTGTTCAATATTAACAAAAACATGAATATAAATAAGAATGGGCAAATTGTAGTATTTGCCAGTGGTGAAGTGTCGTACAACTAGCAGAAGGAATAAGTTAAGTCCATGTGCCACAGCAAGACAGGCTGTCAGGAGAAAATGGCAAGTTAAAACATAGGACATGCAGTATGGAGCCATTTCTACATAAGCTCAGAACCACAAAACAGCAACACATGACTTTTTATCACTGCATACAGGTGAAACACTTGGAGGTTTTCACAGCAAATTCTAACAGCAGGTGCCTCTTAGGACGAAGGACTAAGTATACAAGCCACATTATGGGGGCTGGGGACTTAGCTCAGCGGCAAAAGCGCCTGCCTGGCAAGCACAAGGTCGTGAGTTCGGTTCCCGGTACCGAAGAAAAGCCAAAAAAAAACAAGCCACATTATGTAGTGAGATGACGAGACTAACACTCGCGGACAGCTATATTCTTAAGCAGCTGTCCCAGTACTAAAATGACTATTGAAATGACACAAATAGAAGTCAGTATGCAGTCACGTATGCAGCGGTGTAGTTGCCAGGAAGTTTAGCAACAGACTACGTTTCAGGCTGCCTTTCGTGCAGAGTCCGTTTTGCCGCCCCCACCAGACAGCTCCAGGGTTCAGCAGACCCTGGATCAGAAGCTCAGGAGTTCCTACCGACGTTAGAGCACAAATGTGACTGTGCATTTTCCCCCAAAGAGGAGGAAAATTCTCATCAAGAACACTAATTTAATTTTAGAAAAATGGAAAGAGATATTTTGTAACATATATCTTTAGCAATAAAGAACATCAATATTGGGAAAGATAACCTTATAAATAACTAGTTTTACTAACACCTACTGTAACTTGCCTAATCTCACAGCAGCTCGGGACCAAGACCCAAGCCTCTTCTTTCCTCCAAGTAACCTGCTACTGGACCACACAACAGCCTTGCTAGGATTTGTTTTCCAGAGGAAAAGAAGGGAGAATCTCAAAATTGTTTGGAATCAGACCCAAGCTCCACCTAAGTTGATATTCTTAGAGATCTTCTTGGGAAAGATGAACTTGTTCATTCCAGTGTCAGTCATAAAATTTACACTTCTAATAAAGGAACGAAGTTGTTAAACATGTGATATGTGTAGCCTCCAGATTGCCGCCTTGGCCTGAAGACAGGAAGCCCAAGCCAGCTCTCCAGGGTCTGCTCCCTGCCTTCGGGCTTGGCATATTTCACATTCACACACCCTTCACCCCTTGCCATGGTAGCAGCAAAGGAAACGTGTCTATCCAACCCTTTTCCCTCTATTTTTCCCAGTACACCCAGGTTGGGTTTGCACAACAGAAAATCCATCTTTCTTCTTGAAGCGGGACCCAGTATAGATGAATCCAGGTCAGGCCTTTCCTGGAGAACCCATTATCAAAAAGATTAGAATCAATAGAAAGTAGAATTAGGACTCTTGGAGTTGGTGCAACAAGACCTATACCCTAATTTAAATCCACATATCTGTGGATTTATTTCCAACCAGTGATCTGCTGGTCAATGTTTAACAAACTCTCTAAGAAAAAATGAAAAGTCTGTATATGGACACAATACATAATTTTAGTATGAATTTTATAAGTATAAGGATACATATCACAGAGATGGTAAATATATAATACACTTTTGTATAAGTGTATACAATTAATTGATTCTCACAGAATATTTTCATTGATTTTGCAAACAAGAACTTGCTGTTGTATCAGGACCCAGATTTATTTTTATCAGTGATGAAAAAATACAATTCTGTCATGAATATTATTTGATATCTTCATTTACATTATAATTTGGATGAAAGTGAAACTGAGATACATATTGGAGTTTCACTCGTTCAGTGACAATGCAGGCAAAGATTCTGCTCAATCAGACAACAATTTTCAAACAATGGCATCGTGTTTCCCAACTTTTTTGCTATTGGTAATGGCTACAGTCATATGCACTTTTACTATACATGACTGACTTGTCTCTCATTAACACACAAATGTAATTCTACACAACAAACAAATCAGTAAGCTGAGTCCCGATTGGTAACAATCACTGATTTTAATAATGTAAATATCCCTACTATGGCTAATTTTAAACTAGCAAAATGATATCATTAAAAATGGAGTTTGGAAAAGATTTTCAGCAACACATCACTGTATACAATTTCAGCTGTATCTATACAACAGGTATAAGTAAGTTCAAGATCTTAGAGAATAGTAAAAATGAAATGTAGTAAAATAATTAGAAAGTGATGAGTTCTAAATAACTATCTTTTTAAATGTAATTTATTTAGTTGTGCTTACACAATTTAATGTTTAATAATGGCTAGTATTAATGGCTCACAAAATTTCTGAAATTTTAACAATCCTCTCTTTGAGCTGGTATAAACTAGCTTCAACAATTGATTCTCATGGAATATTTTCATTGACATTTGCAAGCATGAGTTTGCTTTTGTAGCAGGACCCAGATTTATTTTTTAGCAGTGATGAACAAATACAATTCTGTCATGAATGTTATTTGGTATTTCTACTAGTTCCAAGTACCACTGTGTAGGTATTAAAGTGAGGTTGCAGATAGGAGCCAAGTTACTTACACCACTGAGAAATTACTATTTAAAACAAATTCATAATCAAACATCGCACTAGGGAAGCCATGCCATAGATAAGGGGTGTTCAGTCCGAATTGATACCATACTCCATTTCCTAATCATAGTCTCCCCAGTTCATCCTGACATGAGCACCAATGGAGAGCACTATCCTTCCTTTTGAAACTATGTAAAAGGAAGGGTGTTGTCTAAACTCCTGTCTCATGATTCTCACTCATGACCTCTCTCACACCAGCAAGTTGCCCTGTATTTTCTCCCTGGGCTGGTGCTGCCACAGCACTCTTGATCCATGAGGGTCACGATGGGCCCACATTGTCCAAACCCAAGTTGGGCATTTGAAGTTTCTGTCTGTGCCATTGCAGGTCATTCCTGCACTCTCACAGCAACGTTCCCCATCGCCTCTCCCATAAGACATTTCCTAAATGCTTCAGTTCTTCTGGGCTGTGCTTTCTTCATGGGCTTTGAGGGGATGGCAGCCATCAATACTGAGCTTCATGTGGGTGCTAGAGAGCTCTTGGGGGTGCAAACCTGTGAACCTCATCTCAGCCAGACCAGCGTTTCACACGTTTCCTTCTCCCCTGCCTGTGCAAAAGCCTCCAGGCTTTTTTCATTGCCATCAAAGTTTCTCCAACACAGATCTGTCCTCCCACCGAAAACCATTCTCCAGTGAGTCATGGCGGTGGATCAGGCCCGAGCCCCTCATCACGATGGATGAGGCTTCATCCCATCTCCACGTTGGTTTCCCATAGCTCTTACTTATACTTAAGTAGTAAAAAACTTGAATTTTCTAAGTGTTGGTCATCTTCACTGATATTCTATTTAAAGTTTTGTGTTTATAAGATATGAAATGCTGCAAAGTAAGTGTGAGATTAGTATTTTCCCACAATATTTAAGATGCGTGCAACTGCTATCCTCACTGCCAGCTTGAGGTGCTTGGACTGCAAGAACCCTAACCTCATCAGTGGGCTAGGCCAGGGACTGTCAGGAGTGGGGTTTCGCTGGAGGAATAGGCCCCTGCGCACGCCTTCGAATGGAGCTATCGCCTGCCCACGGGCTTCGTGGCTGCCCTGAGGTGAGCAGCTTTCCTCTACCACACCCTCCACTGCAATGCTTCTGCCTCCCACAGCCCTCAGGCAGTGGAATCAGCCCACCACGGACCAAAAGGTCTGAAACCACAAACCTAAACAACCCTCCCTCCTGTAAAGTCTTTCCAGGTGCATGCTCACAGCGGCAAAAAAAGTGACTAAGACACGTTGAGACCTGTCCTCTCCTTTCTGTCAATTCCGTATCTTAAATTTCTCTGTAATCTTACATCCCCAGTGACACCTAATCAAAACATGATGTGACCATGTTCTTATCTCTGATATTCCTTTACTTTTCCTTTCCAACCCATTCTGTACTGAAACCAGATTTTTTTTTAAAAACCCAGTATACCCTTTTCAAATTTCCTAAAATTATAAAAAAATGAAATTACCAAAAGGTTCCATTCTCTCACAGTCGTCATATATGTCTCATTTAAACATTTCTAGTCAGGCACAAGGTGCATGATATAATCCTAGCTACTAAGGAGGCTGAGGTAGGAGGATTTCAATTTTAAAGTCAACCTGGTCAATTTAATGAGACCTTGTCCCAAAATACTAAATTGGGGGTTCTGGGAATATAGCTCAGTGTTCCCTAAGTTCAACTGTCAGTAAAATAAAATAAAAACATGACATCTCTTCAAGATAACATTCCATGACCAGGCTAAATCAATTTCCCTGTTTGGAGCACTCAAAGCCTCTTACTCTGTATAAAAGTAACAAACTGAGTCACATTGCTCACTCAGTGCCCGTACTCCTCTCATTATTCTTTATGAAAGTATGGCTCATTACACATGAGCTGAAATACCACAATGTACTCCACGAATATACACAATTGTTATATACTAATTTTAAAAATAAAAGGAAATTATGAGTCATCTTTCTTCTGTTTACCCAGCACAAAGTGGTTTTCAAAACCATTGTTGAATACATGAGTTCATTAAACAAACAATCAAATTGCGTTCCTTGTCTATGAGAAGGGAAGCTGCACTCTTAATGTGACTGATAACACACATTTGTATGAAATCAGTTGATTCTACCCTCCTGCTTTTGCCTTACACACAGAAAATGATGCAGAAACATGGAAAGCCACAACACTGTAGGATCTGCTTCCTACAGCTGCTCTAAGAAATGATCAAAACTTAGTGACTGGAAGACAACAGAAGTCTTCTCCTAGAGTTCTCCAGGTCCAAAGCCCTTGGTTTCAGGACTAAAACCAAGAAGCCTGCCGCTGGTCTCTTCTGTGAGCGCTAGGGAGCCATGGATTTCCTTGATGCCTCCGCATCTGGAAGACATGCAGATGTGTAATCACAGCTTCTTCCTCCTGGCTTTCCAGCCCTGCTTCCCTCCTCTTGCTGCAATGACTGTGACCCTCCCTGAATGACCCAGGTGGCCCCACCTCACAAGTCACAGTTACTTTACTGGGGTCACCTGGGTCACCCAGGGTCTACTCCCATCTCAAGACTCATGCTCAGCTGTGTCCACCAAGTCTGTAGGCGCCAGAGGACAGGGACAGGTATCCGAGGCACTGTGACCAGGCTGTCACACTCAGCTACGGGAGCGTCGGGGCAATCCAAATCTAGAGAAAAGCTGTTATATTTTCTGTCTCTTGGAGAGCAAGAAAAATGTTATTTGTTCTAAATCAAGTCCCTCCTCTGGTAGAGTTTTAAATGACTGCAAAAATGCATCTGGCTGCTTCAAGGGTTTTGTTTTTTTTATTATAATTTACAAATCTCATTAAGCTTTGTTATTGTTTTCTGAGTTCTGAGTGCACAGCTGTCTTGGAATAACATGAAGGAGTTACAGGGTGGGAAAAGCCACTTGTGGGAAGACTTCCTGGTTCTTTTATGATATTTATGATAGGAATTTTTTCTTGACTGAATTTTACATAGTATTAGGTAGATGAATCTCACATAGTGATCAGGTGCCATAAAATCATTGCGTAGATAATTTTCTAAAAGTGAAATATGAAGTTCAGATTAATTTCTTTAAGTCACAAAGAAAATCCTCCTGGAGCACCCTGAAATAACATTTTTTATCCAGACACACACACTCACACACGCACACACACACACATGAGTACTAAACTGACTTTTTCAAATTTAAGATGCAAATTTATTTTATTTTCAGTCTTATTTCTCTTTTTTTTTATTTATTGCCTCTTGTTTCTATTATTTTCTAGTCACTATGGTTCTATTTAACTAGCTCCCTGTAATTAATTGATTAGATTTGAGTTATAGTCAGCCTATTGTTTTCATGAAAAATATGACTGTCTTAGTTACTTTTCTTGTTGCTGAGACAAAATACTCAAAACTCAAAGCTGAAGGAGGGGAGGAGGAAAGGCTCACAGTGTGCAGTGGTTTCAGTCTGTAGTCAGCTGGCTTCAGGGCATGGTGGTGTGGCAGAGGGATATCACCAAGGAGAAAC